AGCATTAAATCCACCACTACCACCTGATGTTGAATATGATTGATACATACGTGTCATGATACCTGATGGACCACCTGAGCGACGTTGAACATTTGTTGATCGTGGTGTTATTTGTGATTTATATGAACTATATGAAGACGAACCTGCCTTCGTAAATTCATCGTCGTAGCCTTGCATTTTACTGATGTTGCTATCGTTATTTAGTGTATTGGCGATGAAATCTGAAGCTCAATAGGATATTTGTGATGAAATATTCACCGAATGAAATAAACGCACTGACACGCACACACAGACACAAAAAAAGGAAAAGAAGAAAAATGAATGCATCTACGGGTAGACATGGCCCTTTTATCGAGCGAAACTTTTTTCTCTTTTTCTTTTGCGTTCTCTAAGCTATATGATTCGACGAGAAAGAGGAGGCGAACAAACCACCATCATGCAAATAAGATCTATCTTGTTTTCTCTCTCTCTCTCTCTCTCTCTCTCTCCCCCTTACTTACTCTCCAACGACAGTTGTTTGTGGCGGGCATATGTAGGCAATTATTTTTTTCCCTTACTTGTGAATTTGTATCGAAGAGAAAAAAAAGAGATCAATTCTTTTCTCTGTCCCTCTCTCCGTTTACTGCCTGTTACCCTTTAATGATTCGATAGTGGTCTGCATGCATACCGCAAACAGTTTCAAGCATACTTAAGATAGCAACGAAGCGAGACGTATCGAGCAAGATAAAGACAGCGAAAGAAAAAAAAAACGCGAAGAATTATTGCTTTTCTTTCTATGTACATTTGGACGATGTGTTTTTCTTCTGGGTAAATAAACCCGTCTATGCTTTTAATAACCTAAAGCTAAAGATATACAATGCCCACATACAAAAGAAGACACAAGACATTTGTATAGTCAATAGCATGCATACAATTTCAGTCTTTCGTTCTCATTTCATTTACTCAAAAAAAGCTTAGATTTCATCTTGTATTTACATATACACACACATACTCGAGGTATATACCTCGAATACATATTTCGAACGGCAAACGTATTATTATTTATCAAAGGATAATGTTTGATAGAGATTTCTTACATTTTTTTTTGCTTTATTCAAGTTACGACTACACATAAGGATATTGAATGAAGGTTATTTAAACTAGAACATATTTTATTTCTACAGATATCGGCTTGTTTATGATCAATATTGTGATGTTGTTATTATTAATGATGAGGTGAATCATCACGTGATACTGATGGTGATCGAGCATTGATACCAGCAGTTGCGGATGAATAAGAGGTAGAATAGGTAACTTCACGTATATTATGTGTACTGATTGGACCTGATATATTTCTTATTAAACGTAAATTAAGTGAATCAAGTAATGATCGACCACGATTCATAATTTTTTCTGCTTCTTCAGCAAAATGTCGTAGACCAACTTGATTTGTACCACCTTCAAGTAATAAACGATAACGACGTATTTCTTCTTCAAGTGTTGTACGATATTTTTCTAAATCATTTATATAACCTTTAAGACGATCAATTTCATCACGAAAACGTTTTTGTTCATCAATTAAACGATGATCTTCTTGATATGTTGTTGATTGTATTTGTTGACGTATATCAGTTATTTGTCTATCAAGATCTTGATTTTCCATTTGTAAATTATTAACTCGACCACGTACATCAGATATACTACGTGTTATTTCACGAATTTTTTCTGTTTGCCATTGAGATTCAATCGGTTGTTTCGGTTGATGATATTCAATTAATGCATTGACTTTAGCTTGATAATAATTTTGTAATTGCTGTTGTTGTTGATCAGTTATTGTTTCAAATTGTTTACGTATTTCACGTATTGCTGATGTTAATTCACTTTCAAAAAATGGTGCTGGATCAACATTAGCTATAGCAACTTTTGAACGAAGTTGTTCGATATCAAATTTATGTGCCGTTTCGAGCGCTTTTAATTCTTGCTCAAGAACAGCTCTTTCAGCTATTAATAATTGTTTTTGTGTAGCTTCATTAGCTATTTCAGATATAAGATTTGCTACATCAGCTCGAATACGTTGTAATTCAGCATTATAAAAAGTAATTTCATCATCATTATCAGAAATTGTTTTTCGTACTAATTCAATTTTTTTTTCAAGATCAATAATTTTTTCTCGTAATTGTTTTAATTGAATTTTAACGCTATTGGTTTGTTCAGGTCGTTGTACATTTGATAAACGTTGTTCAGCTTGTTTAAGACGTTGTTCAGCTTCTTGTCGTTTATTTTGTCCTGAACGTACATCATCGTCCATACGTTTTAATGTATCTTCAGCTTCTTTTTTTTCACGTGTTATTATTTCACGAATACGTTGTAAACCAATACCTTTTTTATTACGTATATTATCCAAATCATGACTCAGTTTACGATTAACAGCTTCTAAATAACGAATTTTACCAATATATTCAGCAAATCTATCATTTAGTTCAGCTAATTGTCGTTTTTCTTCAACACGCTGACTAGTAAATGGAACTAATGTCCATTTACCAGTACCAATAACACCACGTAATGGTACAGCATTACTTGACATAGATTGTGATACAGTCATTTTTGATGTTACACTTCGATTTCCAGAGCCAAAACTTTTTACTGGTCGAGTTATAATAACTTGACGTGGTGCTATAGCTGACATATAACCAATAGCAGCACCAACAGAACCATATGCGTCATATGTTGCATTTAAACGTGGATCAGTTGTATACATTTCTTCACGTTGCACATCATAGATAGTAGGCATTTTAATTTACACACACAAAAAAACAAATTGAATTTCTTGATTTGAATATATAACGAAAATGTGTGACAGCGATAGAGAGAAATGAGTACTGATGCACTCTTTATATAATAGAAGACTATAGCGAAAATGTATGTGTGTGTGTATATGTAACAGAGTCATCTATTTAGTTTCTCATCAGAGTGTACAAATCCAAAATTAATCACATACACATTACATGTTCATGTGGTTTCTTTAGCGTGCATATGCATTTAAAAAAAAAGTGATATTCTATAGTTCTATTAAAAGCAATAGTGCAAACACCAAAGCTTTTACCACTACCCGCGAACTATTATCATGCAACATCCAAGGCCCAGAAATCAATAGAAAAGTGAATAGAGAAAAAAAAGAGCATTTTATTATTCTACCTGATTCAGCTGTTGATAATGGCCAAGACAGAGAACTTGACTGTAATGACACCGGTTCATAACCTATAAAAAAAAAATGATTATAAAAACTGACATTTATCGTTCCTTTTTGATTGACATATCATTTCAATCTTTATTGTCGAAGTATTTTACAATGACAACTTTAATCCATAGGAATTATTTTTTTGTTGAACGAGTTCATATCAAACCAAGTAACATAATCTGCTAGTATCATATACTTAGAAGAATCTTACAAGAGAGGTCCTCCAAATGATTAATTGCTTTTGAGTTTGGACTATATGCATTATATAGACCCAAATGAATTTTAAATATTCTGAAAAGAATTCGGACTCGTAACTAATTACTACGTAGATACCACAAATTTATGGTAGTTTTTAATTGAATACTGTAGTCCCTGTCACGAACACCAGGAAAACTGGCCTTTCGAATTTCGACTTGAAACTTTGTGCAGAAACAGACCTTAACAAGAGCAGTTTATTGTGAAAGTTTCAAGTGTTTTGATTTGCTTCTATCCTGAAATAAGAACATCGAGTCGAATGTTGTATATGCGGAGTGTAAACAACATGTTTTTACCATAGATGTATCTTAAGACGCGAACAACGACAAGATCTGAAACATTCACAAGAAATTATTCTCGTTAAGAATTCTCTCATGAGAGAAGTCTCTCATGATTAATTACCTTTAAGCTGAGAGTATGTGTATGATGTAGATCCTAATGGATTATAAATACACCAAAGAGAATTCGAGCTCATAGTTTATTGCTACAGATATATTGTACTTCTACAGTATTTTTCATTAGAATGCCGTATCTCTCTTCCTTATAAACGTCAGGAAAAGTGATTTTCGAATTTCGATTGAAAACTATAGAAATAAGCCTTAACGAGAATATTTAATCGTAAAAATATAAGGCTACTTTATCTATTCCTATTCTGAAATAAGAACATCGAATCTATGAGTGTATATGAGCAATGCAAAAGACACACATTTATCTTGATAATATCTTGGTGTAGGAATAATCAAGATATCTGAAGCTTTCACAACAAATTATTTTCGTCAAGACTTATTTCTATGTAAAATTTCAAGTTGATATTTGAAAATCGATTTTCCTGGCATTCTTGAGGAAAGCCACAGTATTCATTTAAAAACTACTATAAAAGTGCATTATCTCAGCAGTAATAAATTCAAGTCCCAAACTCTTTTCAGAATATTCAAAACTCATTAGGGTCTTAATAATGCACATAGTCTCAACTCAAAAGTGACTTATCAGTTGGGGAACTTCCATCGTTAGACAAAAACAAATCACTCGATATATCTCTGAAACAGTCGCAATCTCTTACATTAAACTGATTTATTTTTCTAATTTTGTCCTTAACTGATAAAATAAATAAATAAAATAAGAGAAAACACTACAGTTTCCATCGAATTATAGCATCGAATATTCTTCTCAAATATTTCGTCTAAAAGCTAAATAAAAACAATCAAATGATTTACGGGATAGTCTGTTTTTTCTTAAACTTTACACAAAGTATTTCTTCGAGCATAATATCAATCTCTGAATGGAACTATGTATCAGTTAGCAATCTGTTTTTTTTATCCTATTCAAATGTTTAAATGCTATAATTGAAAAAAATTCGACATTAGTTCTATCACTGAAACCATAATCAGCTCTTTGTACATCTTGACACATGTCTATCTAACGTCAATTCTTGATTGTTTATTCAAAGTTATGGATTTACAAAATAAATATAGAAAGAATGTAATATAATGCGAGTCAAAGAATTAGTTTTTTAAAAAAAATGTAATTTCTATTTACTTGTTGTTATTGGAATGTTTGCTGATTTAATAACAGTTATTTGTATATTTTCATAGTAATTTCTCCATAATGAATCAAATAATGTTTGACATTGTTCATATGTGTTAAATGTTCGATCATTATTTATACTAATAATTTCATCACCAACATTTATATTAGAACAATACATTTCATCAATAATTTTTGAAACTGTAATTTTTCCATCATATAATTCTTCAACATCAAAACCATATTTTCCCATATAATTTGGTTGTCTTTGAACAGTTATTGTTGAACAATAATCATCTGTATTATGTTTGTTAACGGTTGTTTGATCACGCATATCAATAACACGTTCAATTGTTGTAATTAATTCTTCACTGGTTGTATCACTTGTTGGTGTTAAAATTTCTTGTTTTTGTTCATATAAATGTGTTTCAAATTGATTTATTTGATCATCTAATTTTTTTGCTGTTGTTTGATATTCATCACAACTAGATAAATAACGTCGACATAATTCTTCATATTTTTCAACAATATCATTTGTATTTGAATCTGTTGTTGTACGCCGATAACCATATTCTTCATAAATTTCTTCATCATATAATGTTTGATGTTTTATATTAAATTCAATTTTATTTTTATCTTGATGATAATTTGAACTTGTTAAAAGTGAATCACTTACAATTTGAGATAGATGACTAACAGGTGGTGATCGAGGTTCTACTATAGTATATTGTTCATTGGATGGTTCAATTTCGTAAATGATTGTTTCTGATCTATGAATATTATCTATTGATTCATTAGGAGATGTTTCAATATTAGAAGGAATTGATTCTTGATCGAATTCATTAGTTGATTCTTCTTGATTTTCAAATATTGGTTCATCAATGAATTCTGGAAATTTTTCTTCTTGAATTGTATCATCAAATTCAATAGGTGATTTTATTTTTATAGGTTTTTGAAATCTAGTTGATAAAGCATCATGAATAATTGTACCTAAATTAGCAGTATCATTAATTGATTCATCGAAAACTTCTTGAAATTCTTCTATAGAAACTTCTGAATTAAATTTATCAGCTTTTTGTATTCTTATTGGTTTTTGAAATCGAGTTGTTAAAGCTTCATGAACAATTGTACCTAGATTATCAGTATCAACAATTGATTCTTCAGTTTCATGATCAATTTCATTAATTGGTGTTGAATTTCTTGTTGTTAAAATTTCATGTACAACAGTAGTTAGATAATCAGTATTCATCGTTAATTCTTCGATTTCGTTAATTGGTTTATATTTAATTGGTTTTTGAAATCTAACTGTTAAAGTATCATGTATAATCGTACCTAAATTATCAATATGATGCTGTTCGCTTTGATCAGTTATTAAATTATCATAAGACCCTTCATCAGAATCATTTATTATTTGTTTACGTTCATCATCAGATGGTGTTATGGCATCATCGTAAACAAAAAGTAAATTATTAACACATACTGATGTTTGATGAATTGAATGAACAATGTCAACAAGATTATCAATTGATGAATTTTGTTGCTCATCATCAATATCATCATCATCATCATAAACAAATAAAAGATTATCCATTGTATTCATTGTATTTAGTTGATTATATTGATGTATATCATCAACAATTGTAATTAAACGATCAATATTAAGTGTTGATTCTTCACCTTCAGGTGATAAACGTGATTTTTCTTCTTCAACTGTTGGTAATAATTGTTGATTTGCACAATTAAATGCTTCGATTTCTTCTAATAAATTTGTTAAATTATCTATAAGAACATCTTGTTTATCTGTTGACAATGATGTTTGATGATTTGTTTGTGAAGGTGATGCAAGTGCATCATAATAGAAACTTTCTTCAGGTGAGACGGCATTATTTATGAGGTCATCTCGTACACTCGTTTGATGAAGGGTGCTTGTTGTTTCATCACTTTCTACAGATAATGTTGATTGATGAGTATTATCTAGACGTGAATCTTTAGCCGTATGATAAGAAACAGTTGTACCATCATCCAAATCAATTAAGCTATCCATATCGTTTATTTGAGATGCCATGGGTGGTGATGAAAGAACATTAGTATCAAGTTTTGGTGTTGTTGGACTTTCCATTGGAGTTATCTAATCAAAGAAAATTCCATTAGAACTATAAATGATATGATATAAATTACATTCATTATTTATCAATTATCTTGAAATTAATGGCAGTATGTATAATGGCTTTTTAATTGTATCGGTATTTTATCTAGTGTAGAGGGCTATGGAACTGGCACCCCTCCAAGCATTGAATCAGTTCTTCAGAAGTTTGTGTTTTAAAGGTCATCGGGTTCTGGTCCGAAAGTTCTGAGTCCGATGGGTTCTAGCCGTCTGAGAAATATGTACGGTGCGCTAATCATTCCAAACAAAAAATCGAAATATAATATCTCGTATCTTCAGGGCGACTATCCCATTTTAATTAGAAAATGTCATTGAAAGTATTAAAGTACGGTTCGAAAGGATTCGAGACGTTGAAAGTGGCGTTACTTTCAATCAGTTGTTTCTCAGAACTGGCACCCTTGATCCGACTCCGAAAATTTTGAAGCCAGTGAACCCTATTGTACTTCAAGAAAAAAATACATTTTTGCTCTTCCAGAGATTTAAATCACCTCTCGGACTTAACTGATGTTGTTTTTTCTTCAAGAATAATCAAACTTACATTTTTCATTGATATAATTGATTCATCAATATCTTCATGATCAGTATGTTGCCATGAAGAATCTCGTATATCATGATCAACTGATGGTAAATCATAACCACGACGCATATAAGGTTCAAGATACATTCCACATGAACCAGGTGTTGATGGTGTTGTTTCTAAAGCAATATCATTAGAATCAGGTGATGATGATGATACTGTCTCTGTTGTATTTGGTTGTCGTTGAATAGAACGACGATTTTCTTGATTATGAACACTTTGATGTGAATGATCTGTTTGTTGTTGTTCAACAACTTCTAAGAATGTTGGCCGATTATTATTATCTGTTGGTGTACCAGTAAGTTGTGTTATATTAAAATGAACATCAAGTAATAATGGTGATGGACTTATTGTTGAATAATGATCATTTGATGTATGAAAATTATTAGGAAGAATATTTTTATTCATTGGTGTTAAATATATTTCATTATTGTTTGCCCATTCATTAACTTTTGCACTTGCATTCATCATTACTGTATGAAAATTATCCATAGGTACAATTTGTTTTATTCGTGGATTTGTTAAACCTGTTGATAAATATGCAGCCATAAGTAATGTTTCATCATGTTCAGAAGTTTTATCAAGACGAAATTTTGGTAATGGACATTCATTAATTTTTTTTGTATTTGTTGGTGATGCTAATTTCCATTGATGTTTTCCATTCGATGAATTTATTATTGATGAATTGTATATATATTCATCATCTTGTAAACGACGTGTTTTTTTATCTAATTCTCCATAAAGTTCTCGAATTTGATCACGTGTATAATTAGGCATTAATGATGGAATTGTTGGTGTATTTGCAGCTTCATAAGCTATTTCACGACCACGAATAATCATAGCTGCTTTTTCATCATCACTTGTATCTTGTTTAACAACTTGACGACGATAAATAAAACATGCATCGGTTACAGTTTGAATTGGTACATCACTTTGAGTTTGAACATTTTTATCAGGTTTTTGTATAGAATAACTAAATTTTAGATGAAAAATAAACAAAAAATTTGTTTTTAAAACCTTTTTTAAGCTTTTTTCACTTACATCAAACCCGATGGTTTCTTTTTAGTTTGTTCCGTTGTTGTCAGTTTTGAAAGAGATTGTTGAAGTGAATCAAGTGATTTATGTGTATCCATTGATTCATCTTCACTCTTTTCTAATGATGTTTTACTTCGACGCTTATTATTATTAGTATTTGAAATAACACTACGATCTGTTAACATAGATGTATTTGTACCTAAAGATTTATATAAATAATAAAACATAAGCTTATTAACTTTAAGCGGAGGATACTTCACTCCTCTCCCCCCTCCCCCTCCCAAATTGTTCTCAAATTTGGTCAGTTTGTAGAGAGTATCTCTGAATGTCTGAATATTACAATACCTTTTGGATTGGATAAGTTCTAAAAGAAGTTATGAGCTTTGCGAAATTTACTTATTTGATGTCAGCAAAAAAAGTAACCTTTACTCAGTCTCCTACTTTCATAATGCCTTGCGGGAAAACTTTATTCATAAAAACTTGTTAGGTAGTTTTGCCTTTATGAGATGAAATATTTTTAGAAGAAATATAGTTTCCTTGAAGTTGGAGCCCCCAAGATGTGTCTGAGAGTGAAGTTCAACATACCATGAAAACTAGAGCTTTTGTGAAATGTTAAATTATGTACTTTAGCATCATTAGTTTTCAATGAACTTTCGTCTGTACAAATACCTCTCCGCTAGGCATATTATTTTCAAGTTGCAAGACATTTGGACGCTGTGTTGAAGAAAACTTTAAAAAAAAAATAATCGATGTCATAATTTTGATATAAATCATAGTATGCAAAAATCACTGAAAATATCTAAGTTTTACAGTTAAAATTTGTCTTTCTTTACGGAGTCATGACAGATTATTTTGTTATCAACAGTCCATAGAAGTAAGAAATGTGAGTTTTGTATGACATTAGAATTAAAAGGATCTGCTGTAAGTCTATAAAGAAAAACAAATTTTAATTTTAAGATTGACGTATTTTCAATGATTTTGCATGCTATAATTTATATCAAAAGTACGACATTGATTAAACTCTTTTTGTATTGTTTCAACATAATGCTCCATTGTCTTGTAATTTGGAGATAATATACTTGGTGGATAGGCACATGTACATAAGAAGTTTCATTGAAAACTAATGATACTAAAAGCGTATCATTTAATATTTCACAAAACCTCTATTTTTCATGGTCTACTGGACTTCGTTCTCAGACACACCTTGAAGCTTGCAACATCATAAAAACGACATTTCTTCTGAAAGAAAAATATGTCATCTCATAGAGGCAAAACAACTGAACGAATTGCCATAAACAAAATTTTCTCACAAGGCATTGTCAGAGTAGGGACTTGGTAGGGATTATTTTTTCTATTGCCATCAAATAACAAAATTTTACAAAGTTCATAACTACTGTTAGATCTTACCCAAGCCAAAAGATATTGTAGTATTCAGACATTTAGAGGTACTCTCTACAAACTGATCAAATTTGAGGGCATGTTGTAAGATGGATACTATCTCCTCGTTTAAATGTTATATTTACCATCGGTTTCAATAAAACCACTATCTCTATTTGGACTTGTACTACGTTTATAAATCAATGGCTTATAGTGTTGTTCAAGTATCAATTTATTTTTATTTGAAATTGTTTTTAAATCTGGATTTGTTATAATTTCATCCGTAATAGTTAATGATTTTCGACTTTCATTAGGTGATGGTGTTGATGAATGTTCAAGAGATAATTTTCGAAATTCATTTAATGTTAATGAACTTAAATGTTGTATTGTTGTATCATTTAATAGAGATTGCTCTGTACAACGACATATACCAATAGATATTGATTTTTTATGCCGACGTAATGTTATAAATTCTGATTTAATATTATCATTGGTTAATGTTATTGGTGATTTAAGAATATTCTTATCATTAAGAAAAACTAGAATATCTCCTAAAAATGACAAAAAACAAAAACTTTAATATCAATAAAATTTAGAATTTTAAATCAGTTTAAATAAAGATAATATCTTGAGAAAATTTGATTCAAATATAGTTTGTCATTGTAAATTATTTTGTATGAATATTAAATGAAAAAGATTTTTTTTTCAATAGAAAGTGCCAGACTATATTCATTGTACTTGAGAATCATCTCGTATATTTATTCGATACAATTGAAAGAATTTTCAAAGCATGTTTTATTTTGTTGTATTATTGTTTAATTGTTCTGCTTTTCTAATTAAAACATTGATAGCTTAACTTTGAAAGATGAAAATTAATTTACTAAATCTATAATCTAATCAGTGTTTTATCCAGTGAGGAAGTCGAGGAAATTGCGCCCTTTCCGAGTTTGTAGTTATTGTAGCAAGTAAAATACGTCTATGCTCCTAAAAATAGTTGTTTGCCCTTCCGAAAGATCAAATCTGGCTAAAACATTTTATTCAATATGGTTATTTTTTTAAATTAAGTTTTTTCATGTAATAGTTCTTGTCAAAAAAGTTCAACAAACTTTATATATATGTAAATATTTGAGTAAATTAACTTGTCAATGAAGTGTTAGTTTATCCTTGAATTTTTTATATGTATGAGCAAACAAAAAATGAATGTCATCCGTTAAATACATATTCTTTTTTTTTATACGATAATTATTTTGGCAAACAGGGTCAATGTTATATGACGAAAGTTTAATTGACATACTTATGATTATTGTTGTAAAGCAGATATACAAATTTCAATGACATATGGAGAAAAACGAAAAAGAGATTTTAAAATATGAAGGATCTCGTATGTTGGCATTGTTTAATAAAGACAAAAAAAAGCAATATCTATTATCATATACAATAAAATCTCTCTAATGTGGGCACCATTTGGGTATAGTCAAAAGCGCTCATTCTACGGAGATACTTATTATTGGGAAGATTTTCAGTTTCTTTTTTGTGACCTATATGTATTCAGATGTAATCACTTTTCGGCTACACAAGATGATTTTTTTTCTTCTTTCCAGCGATTTATTAATTCAACTTTTTTCATCAGGTGTAAATCAATACATGCTGGCATGATTTTATGTTATTAGCTGTTAACAAAAAAAAATGTTGAGCTGTTATACCAAACACTGTTACTATTTCGACTAGTATTGTTTTTCTTTCTTTTAAATACGCACGGTCAATTTAGCCCGTTTTTTTATATATGTCCCATGATTGCTTATTAAAACGCAATACAGATAACATCATTTTTTTCTCGTCCTGTGTGAATGATAGAACATATGTTGCTCACATTAGAGAAGTTTTTATTGCTAATGGCATCAGAATGAAGCAGCCACTGCTCACAATAAGGAAGTACTTATATATGGAATCCGCATCCCTAGCGAAATTCGCTTTGATGGATTATAGACTATCCAGTATAAAGAGGTACTCACACACACAGAGATTTTACTGTACAATAAATAGTAAATTCATTAATTATATTCAATAATTTGGAATAGTTGGAAAATTAATTTCTAAACAATGAATCACATAAATGTCATTAACGTAAGGATTATTCATTCGTAATCATCATATAGTATTCAACAATATTAAATATTCTTACACAAATAACACGGTCATTTCTTGTTATTCTTTTTCCTTTATCCTGTTTCTTTTTCTTGCTAAACTTAGTGAAAAAAAAACACATACTATGTAATTGTGTATTCTAGTTCAAATATATGAGTCTTTAAATAAATCAAAATATAGAGAGAGAAGGAAAAAAATCATGATTATGAAATAAAAATTATATAAGACAGCTCATGAGAAATGCGGCTCACGAACGCTCTTCCGTTACTAAATATAGATTCTTATCAAATTGTTCATGTAAATGAATTCATAAAACTATGCATTAATTCATAGTTAATTAGATCTCTTTCTTTCCTATGAAATATATCTATCTTTCTGACCTTAATTACGAGAAGCATAGAGTTTGTGCAAATATTAAAATAAAAAAGAATGCTCGATTATATGGATATCGTTTCAATCGAATTCAAAATATTAAATATAATAATAGCAAAACAAACAAGGAATCGAACTGTTCTAATAGAAAAAAAAACAACAACTATCACGCATTGATCACAGGTATATCGACAAGTTCGATAGATTTTCCATATGTATACAATTCAAATAATTGTATTTGATTAAAACCTTTAAATAATAATTCTTTTGGAATATATAATGTAAGTTGTGGTCCAATACTCCAATATCTTCCTATATTAAATCCATTTACAAATGCAACACCTTTAGACCATTGACCATTGAATGCTAAATATGTATCGTGTATTGAATTTTCATTTTCAATTTCAAATGGTACATTAAATAATTGTGGACCATTTTTAAGATCATTGATTTCATTAGTATCTTTGTCATCAATTATTAATTTATTCCAATCTGTAATACTTGACATGCCTTGACGAAATCCTAATACATGTACTGTCCATTCTTTTAATTCAATTTTATTATTAAATAATACTTTATCTAAAATGCCTTTTCGACTATGATCAAGTGTAGGACCATAATTAATACGTCCCATATTTTCTACAATAATTCTTAAATTAGATGTATCTGATGGTACAGTAAATCGAAATGAATTGTCTGTATGTAAAGATTTATGTATAACTTTTCCATTAGCAAGTACAATAGCATTATCTGCAACAGCAGGTATTACAATATAATTTTCTTCATTTTGTTTTAATAAATTTTGAATATTATCACTTGAATAAATAATAAAACCTTGTGATGCACCAATTGTTTTATTGTCACTTTTTATTTGTTCCATATTTAAAGGACCATCATGAACATGATATTTATTTGCTAAAATATCATCATTAAGTATTTGTTCAAATGTTTTATAACCAAATATATTTATTTTTCCATACGAAACTTTTTTTGATATTTTAGGTTGAACAACTTCAAATATATCATCAGTCACACGTTCATGATTATAAATAATTAAGTGTGGATTTTGCTCATAGAAATTTTTAATAATATTTTGTATAACAAAATATTTTTCTGTTGGATCACCTGATTCATTTAATGGTGCATCATAATCATATGACGTAACAAGTGGTGCATACTTTGCTGATGGAAAATGATGTCCACCACTTGTAAAACCAAAATTTGTACCACCAAAAAACATATAAAAATTAATTGATATTTCATATTTTGAATTAAGTAAAATTTCTTCAAGATCTTTTTCAAGTTCTTTTGCTGTGTATTCACCATTTTGACCTGTCTGATGTTTTCCACCCCAATAATCAAACCAACCAGTCCAATATTCAGTTATCATAATATGATGATTTGGACGAAATTCAACTAATTTTTCAATATTTTCTTTAACATGTCTTTGAAAATTAACTGTTGCCCATACATCATCTAATGAACCTTTCGAAAAATCATGTCTACCATCTGATGTAAAAAACAATTCATTAAGATCATTCTCAATATACATCGAACGTATCGCTTCGAGGTAATTTTTATCGTCACCATAACTTCCATATTCATTTTCAATTTGAAATGCAATTATAGAACCTTGTCCATGTCGATTATATTGATGTTCAGATAAAATAGGTAATAAAACTGAATAATAATTTTTCAATGCTTTAATAAAATTTGGATGTGTTGTACGAATACGCATTTGATCATCTTGTAATAACCAACTAGGCAAACCACCCCATTCCCATTCAGCACAAATATAGCCTAAATAAATATTTAAATTAAAATTTTATATAGAACAACAAAGCACAATTTTTAATTTTACCTGATGGACGAATTATTGTAAACATTTCATGTTGATGAACTAATTTTAAAAAGCTAACTAAATCAGTTAAGCCTTCATTAAATTTATAATTTCCCATTTCTGGTTCATGTAAATTCCATGGAATATATGTTTCAATAGTATTTAAACCAGCTTTTTTCATTTTTTCAATACGATCAGACCACAATTGTGGTAAAACACGAAAATAATGCAATGAACCGCTTAAAATTCGAAATGGACGAATTTTTTTTCTATTTAAATCATTTGTTTTAAATAAACGAATGAATAAATGTTGTTCATTATCAAGGATTAATGTTGGTTCGTATTGTTCGTGTAACATTAGTTTTATAATAAGATAGGCAAAAATAAAAAAGCCAAATAAAATAAAAAAGACATAATATTTTCGACGATAACGTAAATGATAAATACGCATAAGAACTCGTCGAGTCGTTAAAGATACTGTTTGCTTCTTTTTATTGTTATCGTCAAGCTTTCTTTGATCATACATCGAGTTAAAACATTTTTTTATGTTTTATACATTGTAAAAATAAATATGATAGTAAATTATCATAAGAATTGCATGGAAAACTTTGCGTATATCTTCATTAAATAATCGTGATTATTGCTTACAGAAAATAGCATAGAACACGCAAATTTTATGCTCGCCTTTTCGTCTAAGGATCAACAACGACACGCGCACAAACACATATATATATATATATTATATAAAGAGAAATAACGTTATTACTGCAGCTGTGTTCTCTGACTTAGTTGTCGGTTAAGCGTTTTTTTTTTTGTATAGGAGCGGCGTCCGATGTCTTTTACGGGCAAAATGTCAAAAGAAAAGGAAGAATGAATGATGAGAAGAAGAAAAAGAACGAGAAAAGAAAGAAACAACGAGCAGTCATTTTCGAATACCCTGGTGGGGGTAATGCACATTTACTGAATCACATCATTCTATTTGCTTCAATGACAAAAACATATTTAAACAAATAGGCCAAAAGCATAATGAAGCAACATTTCTGATATGTTATCTTAGTACTAATATAAGAAAAAAAACAACATAAATCTAACATACCATTTCTAATTCCAATTGTATATAAACCATTAGAAATATTGTAAAAAATAATTAAACGTTTATCATTTGAATCAATTGTTAAATTAAGATTACGTTCATGACTAACATTAAATACATAAAATTCCAGTACATGATTCTGTTCATCTGCCATCGATGTTGATATATCATTGTTATTATTATTATTATTATTATTATTATTATTATTATTTTTATTATTATTAACATCACGATGTTTCGTTTTAGACTGTACATTACTACTTACACAACTTAAACTGTCACATGAAAACGTACCTAAATAAATAAAAGATAAATAATGTATAGAAAAACAAAGAAAAATTAAATTTAATTAAAAAACAGATACCCAAATGTTTCTTCGTTGATGAAAGAAAAAAACCTTGCGAATGCTGCGGCGGCGGCGGCTGCTGCTGCGGTTCTTCTCTCATCTCTTTCATAAGTAATGAAACAAGTGCAATCTTTTCATGTAATCGATGATAACTATATGAACCTTGTTCAATGTCTTGCATTTTGATTATCTCTTGACAACTGACTGTATTCTTCAATCGTTGTTACCTTTTCTTGTAGTAGTTAAGTTAAAGTTTAAAACAATGACAAGATACTAATCTTCTCATTTTTCCTCTCTATGTACAATAGTAATCTTTACGAATAACAAAAGAGAAAGAAAAAAAGACTAATTACGACAATCCGATGGGCAAGGCGAACGAACAACAGAAGATGATCAACTGAATTGATTAAAATGGATCAACTCTATCGTTCGTCTATGAATGAAGGCTAGTGTTGTTATTATTGTTGTTGTCGAAATAATGACTATACAAATACATGTCTGGACAGAAATAAGTGCATAATCAGCTTCCGGCTGGTGCAAATAATGATGATCTAATCATTTAAAAGCATATGCTTTAAATTTAATCTACTAATTGAAAACAAAACAACTAACAAAGAACAAAGTAAAACTATCAAGTAAGCAATCATAGAAAAAACGTGTTATAAAACTTCAAGTCTTATATTTGTTCTAATCAATTATAAAATCTTGATATTCATTTTCTAATAACAAATTATTATTCCATAATTAAAGTCATATATACAAAGGGCAAATGTAAGAATAAAAAGCTTTACAATGGATTTTGTTTCTTCTCCAAACTATGCGTAAACATATGTGAAATTCTCAAGTTACATATTGTTATTACATCATATCATAGTCCGAAAGAATTAATTAATGTCATGTGTAAAGCAATAAAAAGAAAAAAAGGCGTATTTACTTACTTTTATTAACATTACTGTTCTGAGTTTGTTTTTGTAGATAAAGTTTTTGAGCAGCACGTTTCCTTGATAGAGGCCGTTTTTCCTTTGGATAAAGTTTAGTAGAACGTAAACTTCCACAACAACTCTGACATGAGAGACAATCAACCATTGATACAAATATATGTATATGAGATACGTAAAAAAAAGGTAGATGACAATCAATCTGGAGCAAGTATAAAAGAACAAAAACAATATAATAACTTACTAAATGATATTCTTCTTTCAATTGTTCTTCACTTAATATAAATTAAGTAAAGAAAAGGAAAAAAACAAGATGTATAATGTTCAACTTTCGTTTTTATATTTATGCGTGTCTGTCTCGTCACAGAGAAAAAAATACCTCATGCAAAGAAACATGCGATAATAATAATAATAATAATTTCTCGGTCGTTTTGAACTCGACGAGACACACATATAGCACATAAGTTATCGAACGACTACAATCAATGTTATTTTTTGTGAAGCGCAGACCAAAATGTCGTATCGAGTTAAATCATTTGAATTTGCCTGTGAACCTTTTTTTTTTTGCATAACCGAACATATACAGATATTCATATATTCTCTTGTAGTAATAATAGTTATATAGATGATGATTTTTATCGTTTGCTCTTCTCTCTTTAATCTTACACTTTGTTTATATGAATGAACATTTTTATGTGTATTTACTTCAAGTAAAGAAGACTAAGAAGAGATGGGAGGCGGGTGTCCTTTCATTGACCGATCCATTTATCAACAGAAGATTACACACATACAAAACGTGTTCAATCAGTAGGAATCTTTCGTTTACTCTTCATTTATGCTATGTTACATTTTTATCTTACTCAGAAATATTCAGTGGATGAGCACGTTGCCGTTGGTCGGGAAGGAGTTTACTTTCGTCTAAAGTAAAATGTAACTAATTTTTTATCGAAACACTTATGTTATTTTAAGAGAGAAAAAAAATCAAAGAGAACATGTACATTTGCAATTATTGAAACCATTCTTTGACGAACTTTATTTGATGGTTGTCATGCCATTTCTCTTTGGTTTTTTTCCCTTCTTAGTATTTATTACACTTCACACTAGAATTAAAAACGTCATTTGTCTTTTTTTCTTCGTGCTACTCACTCGTTTGCATTTTCTTTCTCTATTCATATTGATCAATGCTATGATGTCTGTAAAGCTGTAGAAGAAGAGTCGACACACACACACACACACACAGAGAGAGAGAGAGAGAGAGAGAGAGAGAGAGAGAGAAAAAAGGGGATAAAAAAAATCATGCACACATGCAACATACGCATATTCACACAAAAGGATGAGCTTTGTACAATTGACCATCTGTCTCACATACATTTTTTTGCTCTATTGCCAGAAAAGAGAGCAGGGTAATTTACAGTTCATCCATTGAATTAACGATAACAAAATATAAAAAAAAGAAAAAGGAACCCGGCACGCGCTTTTAGTATGTATAACGACTAAGTAGACATCATCAAACATGAAAAAAAGCTATAACAACAACATCATATTTGTCATACATACACGTTCATTGATCCCATTTTACATACATTTATTCAGTGAGTTGCACTATGAAAAGTGAAAGTGAAGGAACATTCAATGTCTTTAACTAGCATCGATCATCATTTGTCATTGAAATCTGCCGAAACATTCATCAATAACTAACATTGTACAATGCATTCATTCGACTTATTTGTTCCGTTCAATGGAACCATACACATGCAAATGGGATTGTATGGATGCTCAATAACAACATCAAGAACAACAAGAACAAGAGTAATAACGACAAGCATCTGTACTATAATTACTACTTGTCTAATTAATTTGGTCTTATAATACAAATGTATTTATACGATGATGACCGGCATCATCGATTCAAGTGATTTCTTTCTTTTCTTCTTTTATTTTTTCTTCTCTTCAAGTAATCAACTCTTACTGTATTCTCTTCACACGCAACTGTCCATCATGGAATAGAAAACGATCGTATAATGAGTTGTGTCATCGGGTTCTGTCTAGTGGCAGTAGGCAGCAGCAGCTGGAACATCGCATAAGAGAAAAAAGAAAGAAAGAAAAATGATTGTTAAATCCTTGACATTATGTCTAAAAACTTTCTCCCTGGATGTACACCTTCCTTCTACTCAAGGATATAAGTATTAGTTTATTACATAAAACAAAAAAGAAATGCAGATTAAGATGCAACCTATTTCTATACAAATTATTTTGTTAAATTAGAAAGAAGAAAAGAACGAGACAATATTAATTTGATATTATTCGAATACTTACAATGACCAAGACCCAATGAACGTAATCGAAATGATGGTATTAATTTCATTGTTCAATTAAAGTTGAAGACAATAAAATGCTCAATAATACGAAAATAAAAAATTTTAATGAGGAAAACTCTTGATGTGTTCCTCAACAATAATGAATATAATAAAGAAGGCACAAACCCCTTCGAATTGATGTAATAGTGATGACAAAAAAAAAAAGGAAAGTTCAAATCCTTTTTTTTCTGATATAAATATATTTTGTTGAAGACAAAAAAAAGGAGACCCACAACTGTTATCAATGTTTTCAATCAAGGTTTTTCACCATGACACTATAAAAGACGAACAGAAAAAGATTTGTTTAGAGGCGACAGATGACCGACGATTGATATTCGAATCTTGACTGATGTGCAATATGTGTTTTCTTTTCTTTCATCTATTCGCCCTTTTATTATACTCAAACATACTATATCTTAACAAAAAACTTACTTAGATCACATATATACATAATGCCGATCATTGCCGACTGCATAACGCAGCGGTGAAAAGAAGCAGCTTATTCTTGCTTTTGTTTTATTTTGAACGTATGTGGGTATGTTTTGCACTACAATGTCTCAAGAAGTAAGCGATCATATTATGACGGAAGTCACTTGACAGGCATAGTGCCGTCGGTGTAGCGCTTTTCAATACAATCAATAATGCAACCTTTTATTTGTGATTAGACTATTCATACTTTACTTCATCTTCTCAGCATGTATATAACATATCCACGAGTGAAACATATTAATCGATGATGCATGATTGATTATTTTCAATTAAGTTGAATGTCATGGTAAAAACAATGACTCAGAAATACAGACAAAAGTTAATTAGGTATATCAATGAAAATTTGTTTTTTTTTAATGTGACTATTTAATAGATTAAAAAGGATTGAGCTAATTAAAGTGTTTAGATTTAGTTAGAGTTTATTATTATTAAATTGTCAGAGATTGAAGAAAAAAAAAAGATTTTTATTAATTTGAAATTTCTTTAGATATATAATATGCAAGCTGGATAAAACGAGAATAATTTTTTTTTTAATTAACATAATTTAGAAATCATTGAAATGTGAAATAGATTTTTTTTTAGTTGAAGCAATAAATTTTTTCTTTTTATGTTTCAAATGGTAATTTACACTAATCGCAATGAAATCATTCAATCATGCATGGTAATCAACTTTATTCCAATCGGAACAATTATTACTAAAACATAACATGTTCACTAAAAGAAAAGCATTAGGGATGGTTATGTGCTAGAATTATAACAATGATATATTATTGCACAAATCATACAATGCTAATTTGATTTTGATAATACACAAAAACAAAAATTTTCACTAAAATATTTTTATGTAAATTAAAATGAAAAATATTATTTATAAAAAAAAATCATCTAATCTTTGTTTATAAAAGAAAACGATCGATAATGTATTATCCACTATGAACCAACGTATTTATAGAATTCTTGATTACTTAAAAAGAAAAAAAAACAAAAGAAGAACTAAAATGATTTATATGTTTTGGTTCAATGTGATGAAAAGTAATAATTATCTTATTGATAAAAAGAAAAGAGAAAACAAATTTTTTCCAGAGACAAGAATAGAAAATGATTAATGATTAGTATATATGTAGTTTAGATCTCTTACAATGGATTGTTTTTTTTATTGGAGATAAACTGAGAAATTTTCTAAATATGATTAATGATCACACTTTCTAGTGAAGATTGTGTTAACTAAATAAATCTAAGCAGAATTTTCATTTTGTATTCATTAGTAATTCTTTATTAGTTTCGGTCTTCTCCTTCGTGTCGAAAAGAAAAAAGTGCATTTCAATGATATTAATCAAAATAAAAATGAGTACATGGGAGAATAGTTTGAAATTGGTTCTCTCACAAAAAAATGATTTGTTTTATTTGTCAAGTCTTTTTTTCCAAAAATTTTTGAGAATTTGCATAATCTCCTGCTTAACAATGGTGCCTTTTTCCAGAAAAACAAGGAAAATCTTTTTCGTTTTATTCATTGTTTATGTTTTTCTGGTCGCATCTCCCTAAATTCTCCGAGGAGTTTCGTTGTAGTTAATCGGTTTTTATAGTTTTGAAAGTGCATGTCATGATGTAGCGACTAACAGAGTTCATTGTTTGAATTGAACTTTTCTATTATTATTACATAAAAATGTACTTCTATCAATAAATGATTATTTGTTAAGAGTTTTGCTATGTATTGAGCTTGTTCTCCTTTTTCTTTGAATACAAAGTAAGAATTTAAAAAAAGACACTGTAGTGTGACATGCTCTTTCAAATATTAAAACATTAAATATGTAGAATGAGGGTCCACAAAGAACTTTCGGTGGTTGAGCCAGTCATTTTTGACAAATATCTGCCGAAAGCATTATGATATAAGGCTGAAAATTTTATACGATTTGAACGTACCTGATTCGACATTAATTTTTGAAGAAGGAAAGCCATAATATTCAGATATCACAAAATTTGGTTGAATATTGAAGTTGATGTTAATTTCCATCATTATTTGATTTATTATTAGTTTGAAATTTTGTATTGTTCATCTCCGAGAGTAGCGTAGCAAATAAAATTTTAAAATGTATTAGTTTTTCATTATTGAAAAAAAAATGGTTATATATTTATCCTGTTAAGAAGAACAAAAAAGTGATTATTTAACACTGTTAAATTCCGAGTTTCTTTGTTCTTCTAAAATTTAATAAAATTAGCAAATGATTTACAAAGTTAATTTATTATTTGCATGTGGAGTTATATTCGCATAATAAATGAATATAATTTCTGTTTTATTTTTGTGTTATGACGACTGACAGTAAGCTATGATTTCTTTTATCTATGAAGCTATCGTATCTAGAATATTGGGAAAAAAAAGAAGCAACGTTGAATTATTGATGAAAGTAAACAGCTGATTGTTTATGCCTGATGTTTAGAAGTTGCCGTAGAAAGGAATTAATGCATCGCTTTTTTTTTGCTTTGTCAGTTGCAACAGCTTGCAAAATAAATTAATCAAATGAAAAAGAGAAATTCCATAGAACTTTATGCATATAAGATAGATATAAAGAACAAACATCGTTTTATAAAAGAAAAATATATTAATATTCAATAAATAGTTTAATTTTCGATCTAATTAGTTTGGTCACAATTTTTGCATTACAAACATGAACGAACGTATCCTCACATTTAGAAATCAGTATAATTCATCAGTTTGTTGCTGTAGAACTGGAGTTTAACATCTACTTAATAATGTTTTTATCTCATTAGATCATCAGCCTACACAAGTTTTTCATCAAGTTATTCTGTAATCATCTTCACATAGCCAAGTGGTTACTGATTTTGGTACAGTACAACTAGTAGTTCGATTATTATTTATCGTCTGATATATGATATCTAAAATGTTATGATTACCATCAATGTATATATTTATTTTAGTACCATCGCTGAGTGTAACTCAACTATCACTACTAAGATTACTAATTTGAATTTTAGTCTCTTATTGTTTATTATTTTCATATAGATCTTTAGATGGCATTTAACTTATATTTGAGTGAACAATATTTGATCTGCTTGTATTGGCAGTAAACAATACATCGCTATTCAAGATTTCATTACATTAGAAAATTGAGGTTTTGAATATTCTTCATCCATTCACAATTATCAGTCTTCTCTTTTTTTTCATTCCAAATTCCCTAGATAACCAGAACTTGAAAACAATATCATGAATATAGTACTTTGTAATAGTAAAATAAGAAGTTTTTTTTCAAATATCATAATATTTTACATATTGACATTTATTAAAATTGTTCGTGAAGATTCAATTCTTAGAAGTAATGTTTATGTGTTAGAGGACTTTACGGTTGCAGTTCCCATATATTAATCTTCAAAAATGCCATATTTCTGTTAATAGTTGGTGTACTATTTAACACTCAGCAGAACACTGTAATTATAACGTGAGCTAAACTTATACTACTTATGACAATGCCCTTTTGCTGCCCATTACGCCATTGTAATGTACAGAACCTTGGAATTATGATTCGATCTAAATGAGTCATGCTAAGTACTACGCAATGTACCAACTATTCATAGAAATACGACGTGTTATTTAGATTAATGACGTAAAATTGGACTTGAGCTGAAATTCTGGCCTCTTATATCTACATTTAATCTAAAGATATCTTTAAATCAGCATGTATTGCAAAATTTAATGAAAAAACAAATATCTTAAGCTAAATCAAACAAATATATTCGAACAAAAAGGAAGTAAGAAAAAGCTATTAGCGCAGTTCCTGTGGGAGTAATATATTAACACAATGTAGTTGTTGCTAATTATAAGGAGACTGCCTTATTCTATCTATTTCGGAACATATTTCTGCATCATTCTTTTACGTAATTCTTTAGAAACGCAATAAGGAAGTAATTCATATATTAGAACGAGACATTATGGATGACATATCACCAAACCCTGTCACGGTCATTGGAAGAGGGCAGTTCAAGTTTTCACCCTTACATTTCAACATTTCTTTTTGATGATGTTCTACAAAAGAATAATATGTCTACATGATCTAAAGTATAAAAAATGTTAACGTTTCTCATGGATTCATTTAGTACCTTAAATTATTATTTCAATAAAAATGAATAATCAAAATTTGAAATTTCATTTTTTTTTCATGTCTCAATAAAAAGCTATACATAATTAAAATCGTTCTATATACTTAAACCATGAATATTTATATATGTATATCTATACATATATATTTGCATTTCAAGTTCAAATAATCTAACCATTCAGCAAGAGACTTGCCACAAATATGCAAGAAATACTAACAATTGTTATTGATTAAAGATTTGATTATGGTTGAAGAAAAAGAAAAAAAAAAAAGACACATTGATAACTACAAATATAGAAGAAAGCATCTATACAATAAAGACAAAGCGACAAACAATCATCACCGGACAAATACACAAACAGAGAAGTCGAATCTATTATGTATATATATAAATGTATTTATTCAAAAAA